AATAACTTGTTCTTCTCTCATTTTAAACTTTCAAATCAGGATTTTTTTAAGAAATATCGAGCCTGCTCTTAAAATCAAAATCTTTCGTCGCATTAGAAAGGCTCACCAGAAAGAATTGGTTCGGCGAATTGAAGAAATAAATACACCATTTCATGGTATGCTTTAACTATCTACCAATTTTTTTTTGTGATAAAACGAGAAGTATTAGAGTCAGCTGTTGATAACTGTCGGTGTTCGACAAGTAAAAATACCGGCATTCGAACTTCAAATCTTTCTTCTTCAAGTAATCCAATACAATTCCAAAAACCTTTATGGACAAGAACCATTTTTGCAAAGAGTCTGATCGTATCAATTACATATCCGTCGGAAAACATAACAGATTACATTTTTTCTAGATGATGTCTGTTGTGCTCTTCGAAATATGTGGTCTTGACTCTTTTGAATAAAATAATCCATTTCATCAAGAATGAGAACGACAATATACCCGAAAAAATCTTTTGAGTAGATCGTCGTATGAGTTAGTATTTCGTTACCGTTCAGGTGGTGCATTTCAAGAAAATTCGGGACAAAACAAGTTACAAGGTTGTCTTGTAAAGATGAACATTAACTAATGTCTATTTCAGAGTTACATGGCCGTGGGTAGGGACGTGCAGTTTCGGTGAAAACAGTGAATTACTGACAGTGGCACACCGACACTGAGCGCACTGTCTGCAGTGACACACTGACACAAAGCGCACTGTCTGCAGTGAAGCACTGACACTAAGCGCACTGTCTGCGGTGACACACTGACACTAAGCGCACTCTCTGCAATGATACACTGACACTGACTGCACTGGTTCCCCTATCTGCACTGATATTGGTGTTCACTGAACCAGTGCATACACTGACACTGACTACTTCACCGGTGTCAGGGTTCACCGAAACAGCGATGCTCACTGAAGTATCAAGTCGCCTACTCTATAAAAGTATGCACTACTCATGACTTTATTTATGACTATCAATGAAATTAGCGAAATGGCTATACCTATTCCTCCAGAAAGTAGGATTCATTTAAGTAATCTATAATTTTGAATAATAAAGACAATTTCAACGAAAGACGCCACTTATAGTCCTAATATTGACACATAACTACGAGATTTTATCACTCAACCAGATTCATTTAAGGGGGGGGGGGCCCTCAGGAACGAACTTTGTTATGTTCTAGTCCGATTTCAACCAAAATTTCAGAGAATGTTAGTCTTGACTAGAATAGCTTATGGTTAAAATATCTCCCACAAATCTCAAAGATATGCACAAGTTCCAGTCAATTCATTACCCTTTACACGGGGAAGGTTTTCACAATGGGGTTACTAGCTAATCATGTCGGGGTGGTTTTTAAATTATAGAGTGACCTTAGGGCTAGGTCCTCACAAGCTCCGATTTTTGAATTTCCCTTTGTTTGATTTTTAAAAATACTTTTTCGAAAAATGTTCAAATTCAAAGTGCTAATAAATATGAAATATCTGAGTTTTTTATTTCAGCAAATGAGAAATTCAAAAATCGGAGCCTCTGAGGATCTAGCCATAACTGTCCTCTATTCAACAAAAAAAAATTATCCCTTCTCTATTGAGTCAGTATTAAGAAATCCTTCCCCGCGTAAACGGTAAACTCGAAAAAATTGATTTTGAGAAAAACGAAAAATAAGTATTAGAAGTCGATTTTTCCGAAAATCACCTGATTTATATATCAATGTTCAAGACGGGCTATAAATGTGTGATCTTAATATTAAGTGTTGATAGTCTCTTAGTGATTAGTATTTTAAAAAAACTTTACGAAATGATGATGCAAAGAGAAAGCAGCCTAAAAAGTCGAAAAACCTTGAAAAAACACTGAAAATTTCTCGAAAAATATGATAGTAGGAGCAAAGTTTTAGACGATAAGTTCGTCAAAATCAATTCATTTTTCGATAAAACATAGATATTCTGAAAGAGGACACTTCAGTGCATTTTCCTATGATAAAACTTCAACTTCGACTCATCTCTGAAAAATTGGATTTTCTGAGAGCCCCCCCCCCCCCCTTAAAGAAGATGACCCTTTCTTAAAATTTATGTGAACTTTGTAAAAGTATTCGTATCATTACGATTACATAAATTTTTCGCTTTATTTACTCTTCTTTATTCAATGGTGAAAAAAGTGTTAGCACATGAAAGTGTATGTAGCTTATCTCCACCAAGAAACCAAACTATTGAGCAGATATGCTTCCATTCGATGAAAATTTTTTGTTAATCCACATATTACAAGCGGAATATGTCGTCGTCTTCTGTGTATAAATTCTAGTCAATGGAAATCAGTATCAGTACGTCAGTGTTTCAGTATGCATCAGTGCAACAAGTGCAGTCAGTGTCAGTGTATGCACTGATCCAGTGAACACAAATGTCGGTGCAGACACTACAGACAGTACACTCAGTGTCAGTGTGTCACTGCAGACAGTGCGGTCAGTGTCAGTGTGTCACTGCAGACAGTGCG